CCCCAAAACCCCAAAACCCCAAAACCCCAAAACCCCAAAACCCCAGGAGATAGTGAATGAATTGAAGAATTTTAGAAAAATAGTAGAAAAGGGATTTTATGAGATCTGATGAGGGTATGAGAGCGTAAGAGGGAGGGAGGAGAAGGCCCATTAGAGCTATGTTCTGAACATTTGGAATTTTTCAGACAACCAAAGGGCTTTATTGTGTAAACACAATAATCCTGGGACTCTTTCTCACTAAATTACCCTGGTTCCTCGGAAAGAATCAAGATCTTTCAGGCCCAATTCTTTACAATATTGATCAGAAAGTATCTATTAGGCCTAAGATTCTTTTAGGCCTCTAATACTTTCTAGTACTAGTAGAATTAAGAGAACGCTGACTCAAATGAAAAAGTCCTTGGCTGATATTGTCTCAGCGTTTTCTCTTGTTTCCTATAAAATAATTAACTTTTTCAGCATAATAAAATTTCGGTAGCTTGGTAGAACTAAACCTACAAACCAAATCTGTTTTAATTCAAATGAGTTTCGGCTACAAAAATTCTCTTATAAGTCCTCAAAGAATTCTACACTTGCAAAATAATTAGGTAATATGGTTATGCAAAATGATTCAAAACGGATATTTTCTTAAAATTTTAGTTATTAGAAATCATCTTTCCAAGAACTTTTTAATGATGAAAACTTAACCTGAAACTTCTCCCAGGCATTAAACATGGATAAAATTATTCACAATTACCTAATTGATGAGTAAAAACCTGAATATTTCAAGTTTTCAGAAATTTCAAGTAAGAATTTATGAATAATATTAGTGATGGATGCAGAAAAACTTCGGATTTGTTTGAACCTCAGTTGAAAAGTAGAAACTAGTTTATTGGTCAGATTTTAGGAAATTTCCAGCTAAGTAGCATTGTAACCTATCTGCACTAGTTTGCAAAGATTTTCTTTTGCTTATAAGTCATTTCAGAATTTCTATTTTAGAACATAAATTTCCTTATGAATTTTCTGAAAAATTCTCTTGGTTTGGGAAATTGGAAAGTGTACGGAGAATTCAGAATAAAATATGCTTGCCAGATAACAACTAGGTTGGTTATTTTTGAATTTCCTATTAGTTAAGAAACTCTAGCAAGGAGGCTAGCAAATCCATATCAGGGAAGAGGGCTCAGATTTACTCTCTGATCATTTGTTCACCAAGGCTAGGGCTAGGTTTACCAACTAATAATATTTACTTAACTGAATTCTAAGAAACCTAAATTTAGTATCTTAAGAATAAAAATTTGCTAATAATTTTCGGTGAAAATGCCATGACTTACAAAGAATTGAACTTCAGGCGATTTTTGGCAGTTTCCAGATTATGTAGGCTCATATACTTGTGAGAAATCGATTTTCCTAATAGCTTCCACCTTCTACAGGTACCATCGAACTCATGGATATAGTAAGCCCCAGCAATTATGAATTTCTTCTTAGTATCTGTAAAGATGACATTTCTCATCTCAAAAAAGTCTGCTTGCTTAAGAGGTCAATCATCATCTTTAATTAAAATGTTGAGGTCTACATCATAGATGTAGACATCATCATACTTAAGGTGGTTTTTCTGGCCTCCAAATATCATGATCTCTGTACTATTAAGTGGAACTCAGGAGATATAGTTCTCAGCTTCTAGAACTCCAACATCAAACTCGATATCTTCCCAATATGTGGAGCTCCTCATCTCTGAGAACTTTATTCTCTCAAAGGAAGTCTTTGAGTAATTAATGTTGCTCGGACGATGGCCACCAAAGGCGTAAAGGTAAGTTCCGTTGAACTCTCATAAAGAAGCTCCATATCTCTTCTTATTCAGAATTGCGATATCTTCAAATGTGTTTGTATGAATGTTGTAACGCATACAAGTGACTGTTGCTTGGTTGCTGATCTGAAGTTTGCCTCCTACAATATAGATATAACCATTGAAGGATTCACAGCCAAATAATTTTCTGCCTTGCTTCATTCTAATCCTCTTAACCATCTTTTCTTTCTTCTCGTTGAACTCCCAAATAGCAGGTGGAGTCTGATCGTGGGTGTAGCCACCAAGGATGAAGACTCTATTTTCTGGCTTGGTGCATATCACTTGCTGGCCAATGGTAGACTTGCATTTAGTTACCATACGATAAGAAGTCCAATAGCTCCCCACATTGTATATTTGGAGAACTTTTTGTGATGGCTTATAGTGGAAAATTCTATTAGAGAACTCAACCTTGTATATAAACTTTGGAATAATAACATTGTAGAACCTCCTAGATAACAGTTGGAGGGATATCACAACTTCCTTCTCGAGATACGAGAGAGTGACACTGAAAGCGCTTGAGTAGAGAAATTCGTTCTTTCCCATCTTACTAAAAATATTATAAAGCTTTATCAAAAATTAACTGTTTCTTAGGGGTTTTGGGGTTTTGGGGTTTTGGGGTTTTGGGG